AATCCATTAATCTATTAGTCCGGTATGTGGCAATGATTTACCGATAACCGAACTGAAAGTGAACATTCACTGAAAGAAACCAGTCATCCGGAGTTTTCTTAAGCATTCAGTTCCAATTTTATTACATAAAACATGACTTTATGATGCAGAAAATGCTCCGACTTGTTTTCTTTTGATTCCAATTAAATGTGAAAATTGCTAATACTTGTGCATCTAGAAACTGGAATTTTTTTGTCCTCCAAAGACGGAGAAAGAACAAAAACTTCCCATTTTGAAGCTAGCATCTCAAAAGCTCAAATAATACCTGAACTTTGACCCTAAATCCCCAAAGAGGAGTAGAAAAAGAGGTTTCAAAGATGCAGAGCAGAGAGGAGGAGGAAGTGCAAACCATTTCTTCCATCTTAAAAGAGAAGGACCGTATCCCCGACTCCAACGTCTCTCTGCCCAGCTTCCTAACTACACGGCTGGTCAAAGATTTAAAGAGGAGCAGCAAAAGCAAATGAGGTGGGTTAGCAGTGCTTGTTTCATCCCGGTCATGTTACTGTGAAATATCGTCTCTGCTGGCAGGACACTGAGCTGTTAGCATTTCAAAGCAACACTCTACAGTCAGAGGCCTCTTCCGTTTTGGTGCAAACGTGACTGCTACTGGAGAGCCTTCCTGACAAAAGCATCACTGTCCACAACGACTCTCTGAATATACCTGGTTGACATGACGACATCTAACTTTTCTTTGGGATATGTTTTTTTTCCAATGTCACATGCTGTTTTCATTTTAATTATGTGAAGCACTTTGAAATGCCTTGCTGCTGAAATGTGCTATACAAGTAAAATTTGATTGATTGATTGATAAATACAGTATTTTAGAAGTGAATTTAATGACAGATTTTCATTATTTTCTCAGCACCAAAAATAAAAGTATCTAAGTTAGCAATAAACTGAGCAAAATCTGCACTCAAAGTAGCTCAGTTCCTCAGAAAAACTGCATTATGAATAGAGTGTGATTACAGAAACTCACTGTTTCTCCTCTGCTTTTTTAAATCTTCTGTTTAAAAAAAATTAAACAGAAGATTTTTATCCACTCATTCAAGGCCTCAAATAGCAACAATTCAAACAAATCAATAAAAGTTCAGTTTTATGATGAGATCTGGTGAGTGGATGGAAACTTCAGGCTGTTTGTGATGAGTTGGTTGTGACATCTGCCTGCTTAAGGCACGGCGACACTCGTCAACTTGAAAGTGACGTTTGGGTAGCAGAAGGCTGAAAATAAACCCATCTAGAAAATGCTTGGTGCTTTACACTGCAGGCCAAAAAAAAAAAAAAAAAAAAACCCAAATTAGCTTTGAAAGAAAAACAGTGGAGAGTTATTGTTTTGCAAAAACAATCAGCTGCAGCAAACTCTGTTGGATCATTTGTTAAAAAACATGGCTAAATCCAACAATTAATTAATTAGATATAATTGCATGACGTTCTTCTAATTCATGAACAGAAAATTAATGTCTGCCTCATATACAGCCATTCTTCTGTGCTTTTCTTCTTCAATAAAGCGGCGAATGGAAAATTTCTCTAGGTCAAACCACTTCCTGTTGAGAAAATATCACTAACTCAACCTTCAAAACCTGTTCTCGTCAACAGACTGGCTGCTACAACGTTTACACGCTACTATCACACACGATTATTTTTGGCCTCTGGGTGTCGATCTGTGACGCAAGAATTGCACAACTGCTGATGATCATGCATGATTTAGCTGTGGATCCACTGCTTCCATCTCTGCTGGAGGGATTCTTTGAATTGTGCAACTGTTACGAAGGCTGCATGTCGGCAGTATGCAATATCTTACATGTTATGCATTCAAACTCTGCTTGCCAATTATATATTTGGTTAGTTGTTTGAACTTTTACTTTCTAACCCTAATTGGATGTTTAGGCCACTCACCCAGGAAGAAGCCACACCCAGGTCAAAATATATGATGCAACAACATCGTTTGTTGATGTTTTTTACAAAAAACTGTGAGTTTTTGTTTCATGTAAGGCTGAAACGATCAAAGGGATTAATTATGATTAATCAATTATTTAAAATAATTGTCAAATAATTTAGTTATTGATTAATTTCTTAACTGGAGCATCCAGGATTTTTTTTAAAAAAAGTAATTTGACAACATGCAGAGTAAAATGTACAAAAATCTGTAAAAATGTTCCAGCCAGAACTCCTCAAATGGTCTCGTTTTAGCTTCACCTGAAGAAAGAAAAAAATCATGTCAATCACTTTTTTCTATCCAATTATAAATTGGCCAACATTGTATTGATGTTCAGTCATGCAGAAATGTCTGATCTCTTCATATGTTGATGTTAGAAGTATTTTTAGCTGCAGATGCATCCTTTGCTACAAATGATCAAGCAAACACTACGGGAATGCTATATTTTTTTTAATTTTGGGTAATAAAATTAATTTTCCAATATAAAAAAGGAATTTATTTATTTGCTAAATTTTTAATGTACGTCTAATATTGTATACAAAAGTTGTTAAATGCAAAATCTGCAGTACATGCCAATATTTCAATTCAATTAATCAATTAATAACAAAAACAATCATTGGTTGCGCCCCTGGTTTCCTGACACTAAAGAGGAACAAGAAAAAAAACACAGACTTTTTTTACATCTGCTAAATCATCAGAGACAAAGAAAGAAAAAGAATAGAGATTTTGATCAAACTGTTTTAAAAAGTAAAAGTACAGTTATTTGGCGCTCCGTCTCTAGCTGAGACCTTTGTGTGGAGTTTGCATGTTCCCCCTGCGGCCAGTGTGGTTTCTCTAGATACATCACTTCCTTCAGCCAGGCAACAAAGAGTTAACTGACCTCAGTGGACCCCATATTGACATCTAACTTTAACCTTACCACCAGACAAAAATGGGCTTTCTTAACTGATCGAAAGCTGAGTAAACGTATTTCTTAGCTACTTCATTTGTGCATTAAAATGACTGTTTTTGCTTCGTTATCTCATTCAGTCTCTCTTTTCTATCACTTTCAGCAGCACTTTCTGACAGCAGTCAGGAGGTTCAGCTGCTTCGCTTCCCTTAACACAGTGGAAACAGTTGTGGTTAGTCAGGGGTTCCTCAGCAGATGAAGCATTGTGACACGAAACATGACTGAGCTCAAACGTTTGTTAAAAAAAAAGAAGAAAAAAAAGCAATTAGGTCATGAAAATGACGAGATCCCAGCTACACCAACATAAGAAAATTATTTCCACACATCTGTGCTTCAGCTCTCATCTCCAGCTGGGAAACAAGGAGGAAATCACTCTGCAGCGTTTGTGGTCATATAGGCGCGTAGCAGCTGAAGGTGCAGGCAGAGGACACACCCATCATCTCACTCAGCACCACAGAAGAAGAACATTCTGACAAATGAATGTGTATTTTTTTATTTGCAAGACATAAAAGATTTCTTTGAAAAGAAAATGTCTTTGTTGTTTGTCTGGCTTCCAAAAGCATTGGCACACCCGGAAGTTTTTCACAAGTTTTCCTATTACTACCACAAACTTTAATGGGTTTTATCAGGATTTTATGTGATGGAAAAAAAAAAACCCACCAACCTCAAGTTAACGATTTTTATATTTAACTACAACTACAGGGTAAAGTTTCTGCCAGCTTTCAAGAAACAGACACCGAGATGTTTTCCCCTGTTCTTCTTTAGGAAGTAGCTTACAGTGTTGTGGTCAAGACCACCTAACCCGAGACCAAGACCGATCTCGAGTACTACAACACTGGTAGCTCATGCTCAGTCAGATTGGATAGAAAGAGCCTGAGAACATCAACTCAATAAGAGATATGTCTGGACTTTGACTAGGCCTACAATGTTCGTCAACATCTCAAAGGTGCAACACAAATAATCACCCGGCCGTTTTGTTCTCCTGTTCGAATATTAATTTTAAGTCGAGGTATCAGGGTGAAAGGGTTAAATGTATTTCTTTTCATTTTATTTTTATAATGTTGCAATTTTTTTTTCTTTTACTTCACAATTATGCACCACTTTCTGATTGAAGTTTGTGGTTTTAACCCAAAATGCTTGAGAGACATGAAGGATTACACACAAGAAGCAACGAGCAGCTGCAAACTCACAGTTCAAGCCTGAATCTTTACACATTAAAATAGATAAAAGATAAAAGTTTGACAGGCAGAAATGGAGATTTCTGAACCTGCAGGGTGACTCCAGGAGGTATTTCACTCAAACATTTTACAGATTTTAGATCACTGCCTCCCAAGTAAATAGAGAAAACAACATGGAAGCCATTTCCACAGTCACTGTAATCTGGGTCACAACACTCCTTTTCTATGTGGATTAGAAGCTAAACAATTTGAGAACCAATGGAAATCCTGTCAAATCTTTGACAAACTATCAATTTTCTTTGACACATCACTTTCACTTTATCATCTTCTGCTGTAGACGATCAAACTCTCCTTGGATTGTCAGTTTCCACCATTTTTGACATAAACTACACATAAAACCACAGTAAACCAGCAAATAGCTCAATGGAGACCTGCCTTACTGAGATAAAGAAAAAGTCAAAAGGAAGTGTTACCAAGAGGGAAATAAATCAAAACAAGGAATGAATATAAAGTTCACCCAGTTTCAAGAGGATTACATTTTTTAATTAAGTTACTTTCTACAATGACATTCTAATGTATTTCTTTTGTAATCTTGTTAAAAGTCCCCAAATTGAGCCATAAATCTTAATCTTAAATCAGGACAAAAAAACAACAATGTGTTTTATACACAGCGTTAACTAAAGTGTCGAACTCAAACTGTTATGTGACTAAAAGACCGAGTGGTTTTTAATGACAGGGAAAATGTTCAGAAATGACTTTCCACTAAGTGATCAATTTAAGACCTGATGGATGAAACCACAGAATCTATTCCTCTTTATAAGCAGAGACACTTGCATGCTGGGTAATGAAGTCTAATGCCATCTAAAACTGCTGAACTGAATATTTTGAGTTTGCGTCTTACCTCGAAAAATTCTTTCAGCCATACTTTCTGCAGATTTTCAGTCTGAAAGAAAAAGAAAAGAAACACAATTAATGGATTTTTTTTTTTAAAAACAAGAGATTGTAACGACTTTAAAAAGTCTTCAGATGTCAATTTCCATTTCCAAAATGTTCAACACCTCAGTGGAAGTGACCGCTACGAGGAAACCAGAAAGAACAGACGTGTTGCAGTGATTTCACCTCCAATAACTCAGTGTTGACACCATTAAAGCTTCACTTCCTTTGATCAAATCACAACATTTAATATCAATATTTCTGACTCATAGCCCTCTTCAGGAGACCCCAAATAAGCTCTTCTAGTGAAATCTTTCTTTAGCTTTCTAGCAAAAACTGGTCAACAATTGTGTGAGAATTTAAACAATTAATTGGATTAATCTTTTGTTAAAATAATTAACTATTTTAAAAACCATTTAATGGTTATTTGGAGTAAAAACAAAAAATATATCTCCTACTAAACAACTTTTACTTCAGATTTTTTATTATTTAATCTAAATAATGGTGACCAGATTAGACATTCACTGTACTGATGCTGAGTCCAGCAGAAATTAAGCTTTTCAGGTGAATTGTTGCTTAGCTGCAGATGCATCCTTTGCTGCAAGCGATCAGCAACTGAACACTGTTAATGCATTTTACGTGATTAAATGTTTATTCTCTTATTCAAAAAAGGATTTTATTTATTTGCATGTTTTAATGCATTTCTAAAATTGTAGAAAATCAGTTGAAGTGATTAAATGAAAAATTTGCACAATGTGCCAGTTTTTTATCCAAGTAATCATCAGAGTTATCCGTTACTACAATAATTGTGAGACGCAGCCAAATATGGTGTTTAAAGCACCTGAATTTCAACCACCTGAAGAAAAACCCAAACACTCAACCTGTGGAAAAATGACACTGAGCCCCACTGTGCCACTACCGTGTTTCACTGCGAGCATTGTGCCGCATCTTTTGGAGCTCATGTTTGATATCAGAGCATAAAAACCGTCTCCTGCAAAGTTTTGGGAGATTTTAACCAGGGCACGATGTTTTACTGGGAAGGAAAATATTTGGTCTGGGAAACCTACTCCTTCGGATTGTTGACCCATGCAGAACACAAGCAGAACTTCCTGGAAATGTCTGCAGCTCCCTCAGCCTCTTGGCAGCCTCTCTGACTACTTTCTGTTTTCATCTGTTTAAATACCAAGCAGGAAATCTACTGGTCGATTCACCTGCTGTTGATTTTAGGTTCTTGTTACCGAACAACAAGTTGTATTAAAAAGTACATGTGCATTTAAAATATTAGAGTAAATCACCTGGAAATGTTTCAGTGCATTTTAGGGTTATCCTGAAATTTCACCCGAAAGCTAAAAAGTCTTGTTAGTATCCTATAAAATGAAGCCCAAACTTATTCCCACAGATTTAGATTATAATTTAAATTTACTTTAAACCATTGGGGGTAGGAATAACATTGGGCTTCATTGTTTATTCTGAATATTTATCACCAACTTAAGAGTGAAAATGAGAAAACAGCAGGAAAATCCCTCCAGAACAGCTGAAATGTACTTAAAGTTGATAAGTTTTACCTTTGATGGAGACAGGAATGTATCTTACTGTAACAATAAAAAAAAAAGGACAATTCTTTTATTATCAGTACCTGGTTAACTCGGACATCCAGGTGCTACGCTAGCACCTGGATGCTAACACAGAGCAATAATTTCATGCTGTGAAAAAAAAAAAAAAATCGGGCCTAAATTCAAGCAGTCACCAAGGTTGGAATTTGTACTGTTGATTAGGGCTGAAATAATTAATAAAATTAATAAAGTTAGATCACTAATTTAGTTAGCAATCTAACTAAATTAGTTAAGTGATTAATCATAAACTGGGGTACATAGACTCTAAAAATGTCAACTTCTTGAAAGAACAAAACTCTCAGAGCAGAAACTGAGCCAAAACTGTACCAGAAATATATACATCTAGCATTTAAGATATAAAATAAAACTTATTTGTAAATATGTCCTAACCAAACCTCCATTGTTTTAGCTTCACACAGTGCAAAAAGAAAATTATAGCAGGTACCTTTTGCTATCCAATTATCAATCGATTTAGCTGTAGATGCATCCTTTGCTGTAAATGATCAAACGTTCAGTAAAGAATGCTGTTATTGCATTTTAGGCAATAAAATGTTTACTTTCTTATTTTAAAAAGGAGTTGAATTGTTTCTTTGCATCTTCTAATGTATTTCTAACATTGTATGAAAAGTGCTAACATGTAAAATCTGCAGAATGAGAGATTTTTACACAATCGTGAGAACAACTGATAAATTAATCGACAACTAAAATAATCACCCTATTTGTTTCTCTTCAATTATATTATCTTTAAAGGTCAAAACCTTTCCAGGGCCTCTCACCATCTTTTTTTTGCTTTCCCTCCAGCTTTCCCCTCCTCTTTAAAAGGCTATTCCCAGACCTGGACTTCATTTAGTCTGCGTGGTGGAAACAGACGCAGGGCCCTGGGCAGTCTACCATTTAAGGAGAGATCTCCCAATGTCGATAACTAGGTCTGATGAACGACCGTGTGTGTGTGCATGTGTGCGCATGTGTGTGTGTGCGCGTGTGTGTTTGAGGCAAGAGAGAGAGAAAGTTTGCCCTTACTTGACCAGTCTATAATAAGAACACTTGGGGGATTCACAGGCTTTGTTGGCATTTGTTACAAAAAGCAAATACATTACAAAAGTAGGCTCTTTGGCCCAAGATGGCAACCAGGCAAAAAGCTAAGCGAATACTTCAATAATGCGATGAGTTGTATGGTAATTACTTTAAACTAAAATAAGAACTCCACAAAATCCAGCAAATGGGCTTTACTTCCAAAACTCTCAGTGCTGGAAACACTCCACAAACAAAGAGGTGTTTCAATGGGATGTTCAGTAGTTGGCGGTGATATTGTTCACGTGCTCATATTGCAGATATCCTCGATAAACGCTTCACATCAGTCTGAATACAAGAATACAGCAGATCCCCGAGTCCCGATATTTCCAGGATTTAAGACCTCAATCACCCACAAACAGATGAAATCTACGGATACTTATGACTGTATTTTAATAGTTCAAACACCAAATATGCATTAATATGTTCAGCAGAAACTGTCTCAGTACAGTAGGAAAAACCAAAGAAACATTCAACTTTTTCATGGCACTGCTCATAAATCTAGCATCAGCGAGGAATAAACATTTTTCTGTTTGAAATAAAAAACAACATTTTTGCTACAATTCTTTATGTTAACATGAACCATGCTCAGTCCACCCTGATTAAAAGACACAGAATCAAATGAGCTAAAGAGGAAATGCTTGTCAAATGTTAGTGTTACAAAGCGGCACCTGAGTCCTGCAGGGCTTGGTGAGTGTGTGCGCCGTCCCAATCTGAGGCAGATCAGACCGAGTGTGGCTCTATATAAGGAAACGAGCAGCGGAGCCTGTCGTTAGTCACAGGGACGGAGGAAGAGACGGAGAGTGAGACAGATGCAGACGTACAGAGGAACAGACAGGTTCCGACCTTGGAGATGCTACCAGACCTCCATGGTAATGAACACACAAACAAACAGAGTTATGTACTGCTGAAACGATTAATCAGATTAATAGTGATGAATTGATTATTGAAGCAGTCGTCAACTAATTTAGTGGTAGATTAATCGTTAACGAGAATATACAGACTCGGAATAAGGGCCATTTATTGGGAGAACGACTCACTCAGAGTAGTAATTGAGCCAGAAGTCTACAGAACATACCGGGTTTCCTCCAGTGGATTATAAGCCTGGCGGGCCACCAGGCTTTTCTTATGCCGCCCACCAGGCTAACCACTGCTTATTTTTTAAGTGTTTTTAAAATGTTTGCATTTTTGAAGACTGTTGGCTACATTTGTATATTTTAATATATTTCTAATATTGTATAAGAAAAATTTATATGAAAAATCTGTAGAATGTGTTAATTATTTTCATTTTAAATCGATTATTTGATTGAATATTCAATAACTATAGAGTTATGCCCTAATGTTTTGATTCTGACCTTGTAATACCTGATGAAACTAACAGCCTGTTTTCACCTCTTTCTTTTGTTTCTGTTACATTTTATATAACACCACAAAACAATAAACGCGTCCCGGCGACAGTTTCTCAAACGAGTCTTTAAGTATATCATCACCAGACCCTGGAGATCTTTTCTCCATCATCCCAGATAAGTCCGATGCTGCGGCTTTGATGTGCAGCAAAGACGGTTCTGGGGAGCAGATGTCGGACTTGCTGGGGCGGCTCAGAGGAGCGCCAGCGGGGGCCCTCTGAGGCCCGACAAATTGGGCTAATAAGAGAAGAGACGTTTATATCTGCAGCCTCGGATCCAAGCCGCCCACCCTCGACTCGTCACAAGTTAATTCGGAGTTAATTAGAAAGTGGAGCTCCGCAGACGGGAGGGTATAAATAGACCCAAACCATGCGCTGCTCCTCTTCATCCTTCAGAGGAACTTTCACTCGCTCACTTGTCTCCACCTCCCGTCTCGTCTCTGTTTTCTGAGGATGGCCTAGATTTCACGCCCTTTGAGGAACGAGGCTGCAAAACAAATCAGGCTTAAAATTCAAGCCTTCCCAAAAGGTGGGATTTAAATGTCTGTACTGTTGACTAGGGCTTAAACGATTAATCACGATTAATCGATTAGTTAAATGATCATTAACTAGTTTAGTAATTGATTAATCTGTAACTGGAGTACATAGACTGTAAAAATGGCAAAGAACAAACTCAAAGCACTAATTAAGCCAAAAATATTAACACTTTGCATTTAAGATGGAAAACCTTGTCTGTAAATATGTTCAACCCAGAACTTGTCAAGTGGCATTTTTAGCTTCACTTGGTACAAATTCTGCAAAAAAAAAAAGATCCAATTAAGAACCTTTTGCTGTCCAGTTATTAAACAAGAAAATAAACAGATTAGTAGACAGTAGTTTTTGCTGCAGATGCATCGTTTGCTACAAATGATCAGGCCTACA